GTCTTACTGTTCTAAGCTTCTTAAACCCATCTCATTCAATTTTTGCAGGCGCCAGGAGAGATACTATTTTCTCTTCCCACTTGACAGAGAACTTCTAGGAAACTGATGTCACTTGTGGGTAGGTGCATCAAATGCAAGCCACGGTCCAAGTTCTTGGCCTCTGCCCCTCACAGGACCGTGCTCATAACAGTGACCTTTGGAAGGAACAATTACAAGTAATTTTTATTTCCTCCTTTAAATTTCATAGTCTTTTCCAGCTGTTTTCCACAATAGGATGCTTGACTTTCATAATAATGAAAATAAAACATGGGTGTAAGTTATTAAAAATAAAAACATGGAAGAAATGTGGATCTTGGGATCACCCCAACCTCGCCTTCAATCCCAGCTGCAACATTTATTCAACCTCCGTGAGCCTTGTTTTCTTGATATGCAAGATGAAAATAGCAACATCTACCCCGTGAGCTTGCTGTGAGCGTGCAAGTTAGGGGAAAAAAAGTAAAGCAAATCTGCTGTCAGACTTGGGGAGGGTGACCCCTAGAAAGGGGCAGTTACAGTGGTGGAGGAGGGAAGGATAAAAAGGAAGAGAATGGTGTCGTCAGAGGCAGGTGCTCCAAGCTAAGGATCGCCCAGCATCCCGTGCCCCTCCGAAAGCATGCACTTGTATGAGAATGAAAGAAAACAGCAAATGGACCATCACCCCAGTCTGTCTGGGTTAACTGTGTCCGATTATGTCCTGTTTACAGCCTGTGCTCAGCAGTAGGGCTGGATCATATAACACGAGAGGAATGAAAGCTGTGAAACTCTTTCTCAAAAGAGCGTAGGTCAGATCAAAGGAAAGCTCAGCTCATTCAGAAACAAGAGGCCTTTCCTTTTCACACCGCACCTCCTCCTCCAGGCCATCGCCTCCACATTAGCTTCTGGGGCGGAGGCCAGTCTTCCCCTGAAATCTGAGGACCCTTCTCATCGTTCCATTTCAGGAGGGGGCTTTTCAATCTCTGAGTGCGCGCCCGCCGTCGTAGCTACACCCTCGGTGATTGTGGAGGCCCAGACCAGCTCTCCTTTACCGTGAAAGGTCACAACTTAACGAAGAGCACAAGTAGATTCCCAAACAAGGACCCAAGGGCGCAGATCTCTTTCCTAGGAGCCCAGGAGGAGAAGGACCCATGCACTGAGCCTGGATGCTTCCTGAGATGAATGAAGTGGCCACAGAGCTTGTGCCCAGAGCTCCTGACTCCTGCGCCTTTTACCAAGACCCTTGAAGTCTGGTTTTGCCATTTGAGTCCGCCTGTCTGAGCTCACAAAGCCCGGAGCACTGAGACTGACATTCAGTACATTCACTGCACGCTCTGAGCTAACTCACATCCAGGAAGCCAACGACATAAATCACCGCAAATGTGGTCATGATGGAAGGGAGAGGGTTTTTGGGCAACTCGAACCAAGTCCCAATCCTCGAGCCAGCCATTTCATTTGGCAATCCCGGGTGCACACAGACAGAGAACTCATTTTTCTGGCTGCACGAAAAGTGTGACTCGCTTGGTTTCCAAGGATTTCAACACCCAGAAAATTTAGTTGTAGGCTGCAGTCCAGCATTCCGAGTACGCTCCGACGCCCACCAGCACCAACATGAAGACAGCCAGGGCTGTTTCTGCCCTAGCACTGAGGACGGCTCAGGTCCGACAGCCACAGCGGGGCCGCAGAGCTCGGGCCCAGCTCTGCAGCTGACACATTCCTCCCTGTAAATGGCGACACGTTCATCGACTGTGCAAATGCAACAAGAGCAAAACTTGACAGTGAAATTCAACGGCCACGCTGGGTTATGAGCTCAGGGATGTGCTCCTTAGTCTGCTTGCGTTGCTCATCGTCTGCTCTATTTTCCTCAACTCTGCATTCCAGGCTCTTTGGATATGGAGGGGAATTTATCTCACAATTTCTCCCAAAATATCTCCTTCCTACACTCTCCTATCCCCTTTTTTCAAACTGTGAAATGCAGCCTGACTGCCATCTCAGCCTTTTCTGGTAGCTGTGACTGGCTGCTTTACACGTGACTCAGGTGAGCGGCCAGGCTGGGGCTGCATAGCTGCAACACTTGGTCTGTGAAGCAGCAAATGCTTCTGCAGCAGGTGGCGTCGCCTGGGCCAGGGGCACCCCCAGAGTCCCATCTCATGAATCATTTACCACACTGGCTGCAGCTCAGCTCAGAGAAGAAGCGCCCAGAATGCGCTGGAAAGGATGAGCTCATCAGCCCCTGCAGGTGCATAAGCAGGACGACGCCTGCAAACTGTTCAGAACAAATGCAGCGTGGAGGGATCGTTTGTGTTCCGTTTCGGCTCTGTTCGTTTGAGCTTTGTGTTTTCCAGAATGCCTTCGAAGGGCGCGTTTCAGCTGGTCCTAAAAGATCACCTTGAGAGTGGTAGAGGAACAAGGCCCAGAACAGGTGGTCGGGTGTGACGACTGACAGCAACAAGGGGACCCTCCATGGAGCACCCCACGACATGGCCCGGATGGCATCAGTTATGCCCACGACCAAGTTATCAAGGCCTGTGGCTCAAAGGCATGGGTTTCTGGCCAAGGATTCCAAACCAGGACTGCAGAACTCCCCAGCAGGCGGGCCAGAGGCAGGCAGAGGCTGCATTCCTAGAGTGCCTTGGATTTACTAAGGTGATTGGGGAGTAAACGGGACAAGTGAGTCACCCCTGCGCCCCCCGGTATTGGGAAAATTTTAAAGACAGAGTCCACATGTGAATGAGGGCTCATGAAAGCCTAAAACAATGCTAGCGACCAAAACCAAAATACTAACTGCAAAGCCCCCAATTAAGCGACTCCATGTTTGAGAACTTGCCCTGCTACTGTCTCATATGAGGATGTGCAGAGCGAAAACCCAGAAGTGGGTTATCTATTGATCAGAGGGCTGACTAAATTGCGGTGCATCCGAAGAGTAAAATGCCACATGGTGTTAAAATGAATGAGGTGACCTGCACCGGCCAAGATGGAGAAACGCTCGCGGGCTGCTAGTAAAACTAAGCAGCGCACAGGGCACCCTGCACAGAAGACACCCTGCCCCGGGGGAGCAAACGGAGCGTGGAAATGGCTGCCAGCTGACACCACTGGGGAGGGCGGGGAGGGAGGGCTTGAGTGGGGAGGAAGATTAATTTTTTATCCCATGAGGACAACAAGAAAACTCGAACCTATTTGTATAATAGAGTCTGACCATCTAACATAACCACTGGACAAATTCCTTCAGCTATTATTAAATTCCAGGCACTTTAAGGAGAGGCGAGAGCAGCCTGGCACAAGCCACTGTCATCGACAGGGGTGAGGCTTGGGGTGCTGAGCGGGAGGAGGCAGGGGCTGCTTCTCTGGGCTGCTTCCCTGTGATAGTCATCACCGGTAATATGCGACCACCGATTATTGACCAGAGGCTTTGACCCCATAGCCTAGTGGCATCGCTTCAGCGGCTGCACCAGAGGCTGGCCTGTGGAGGAGGCAGCCCGGCTGCCTGAGCTGCCGCGAAGCCTTCCAGCTCCGGCACAGACCACACACAGCACGGCCTTACGCAGGTGGTTTTAAAGCCTTGATTCCAGGAAGGCAGAATTTGTATTAAATTCTAAGAAAACACCTTTGTGTTCAGTTCCAAGGTGGTAGAAATGAGTGGCAAAAAAAAAAATATATATTACAGCCTCGACAGGGTGGTTTTAAGTTCCAATCTCAGGGCTTGTGTTGGCATCAGAGGACAGATGGAACACCAGAGCCACTGGATGGCACTTGGGGGCAGTTCCGGATCAATTTCCTTGATGGTTTTGATGAATCTGTGTGGTCTGGTAGGTTTCTGCTTCTCATAACTGACTGGGGCTGGATAGCAACTCTAAAGGAGCACATTTCTTAGAAATTTTCATGGTCGGGGTAAATACTGGACACAGGACGCAGCCACAGAACCACCAGCCTGGCACGGATTTGCCTGCTCCTTTCACGGAGGTTACAGAACCTCCGGCGGTGGCTGATACACTGCCCGGTGCAGGGCTCACCACAGCCCACACCGTGAGTCGGCTTAACGTGCGTCTATTCGAATACTGACCATGGTTATTAGGATGAATGGGAGGAGGGGGAATGAGAACCAATCGACAGGGTGCTGTGGCTGACAGAACAATGGCTCCCCAAAGACACACATGGCGCCCCCAGTACCTGTGGTGTGTTACCACACCTGAGAACCAGGACTGAGCAGACGTGAGAGGTTGTCCTGGATTGTCAAGTGGGCGAAGGGGGGCGGGAGAACTGGAGGAGACGTGAGGATGAGTCGGAGGCCAGAGTGAAGTGAGCACTGGCCCTGAGGACAGAGCCAGGACCCAGGGCCAGGCAGGCGGTGGCCTCAAGAAGGCGAGGCGGGAAGGATTTCTCCCCAGGAGCCTCCAGAAGGCAACAGCAACACCTCTGGCCTGCTGGCTAGGCCCGCCGACACCCGCTGCAGACCTCTGCCCTCCAGGAGTGTAAGATGATGTGATGTTTTCAACCATCACGTTCGCGATATTTCCACAGTTACAGAAACGAATGCAGGTGGTGAGGAAAGGCGCCTGAGAAGTGACATTGGAGAAGTAACCTGTGGAAATGGCTGCACTAAAATCAGAGGGAGGGGCGCTCCAGGCAGAACAGCACAGGCAGAGGTCGTGTGCAGGAACGAAGCCTGCCTGCTCGAGGAAGAAAACGTGGGGCTACGTGACTAAAGCAGAATGAACCAGAAAGGGAGGCAGGGAGGCAGCCTCTGCGGGAGGCTCAGGCAAACGCGGCACATGACTGTCGTGACAGCTTAGCAGGCTGGAGCCACGTGGGCCAGGCCCGGCCCTCCTCTCTCTGCACCAGAACTTCCCTGCAGGTATCAACCGGCCAGCCCTTGCACCATCGCAGGGTCCTCTTGTTTTCTGGCACTTCAGCAATGCACAAATGCTCAGGTTAGGGACCCCGAGGCATGGGTCCACAGCACACAGGCCTCTTCCATCTCCCTGCCCAGGGATAGGCTGGGCTCTGCACCACCCCGCCCCCCAGATCGCCTCCACATGAGACCCAGTTCTCCAGGCTGGCCATTGGCTCCAGGGACCTGTCCTTCCCTGCCTCGGAGCCGTGGTCCCCATTCTAACATTCGGGACGAGGTGGCACACCCAGGGGGCCTGGCAGGAACCTAAGCTGTGATGGCGTGCTTTTAATGCCTTGACCAACTGGAGAAGAGCAAATGAGATCAAAAAGAAAGGTGTATTCTGGGTGAACATGGAACAGCGAGCCCCAGGGTGGCCCACAGCACCCAGCCACCCAGGACATCTGTGCCCTGGACCATGCATCATCCAAAAGACCACTGCTGTGGTCAGTCCTCCCGGGAGGGGCTCAACACGAGGGAGCTATAGTAAACAAGCATTTCTCTAGTGCCTACTATATCGCAGAGACCTGCACATATTTGCCTCCTTATGTCTGCATAGTAATCTTGTCACCTCTGACAAGTGAAAAAGCTGAAGCTCTAACGGTGCATTTTTGTCCTCACACAGCAGGAATGTGAAGGGGCTGTAATATGGGGCTAGAATTGGCGGCTGAATTTTATCTTTATTTTATCTTTATTTTACTTCATCCTCATTTTTCCTATCTTATCATGACTGAAAGGAAATAAACTTCAGTTTTTTAAAATAGTTTTGACTTCACAAACTTGAGGGCCTCTTGTGAGTTCCCAACTTCTTACTCATCCTGTCTCATATATTTATCTTCACCATGAAGATTAAAATTATAAATATAGTAAAATTAAATTAAAGAAATAAAGTCTTAAGCAGATAGTACCACCGAGGTGCAAACATTGTTATTTCACAGAATGTCCAGATTTGGGAATGAAACTGATGTTTGTGGGTCAGGACTTTGAGACGCCCACAAACTGGGGCAGGAGCGCAGGGGCGTGCACTGGGCAGGAAGCTCGTTCTGCGGCAGGGTCTAGGGCTGAGTCTGCGGCCCCTGCCACCACCTGGCCCTCATGCCCACGCCGACTTCGGTGTGAACCTCCCACACCAAATCGCAGCCCTTAGCGTTCAGGCCACTGGACCCTTTCCTGTCTCCATCAGTGACGAAGCTCTTCTCAGCCATCTCCAGCAAGGACAGGTGAGCCGAAAGCCAGTCTGTTTAAAATATTTGGGAAAACTGAGGCTGAGTCCAGAAGATAATTCCTCATTCCCCTCTCAAGCTCGAAGCCCAGAGCACCAAGCTGAGCAGGTAAGAGTGGGCGGAGCAGAGAATGCACCTGTCACAGCCATGTGTGGTGAAGAAGGTGGCTCATACCTGCAGGTAAGGTCACCTGTGCTGATACACTGCACCTCAGACACACCATGGCCATGGGGCTACCAGCGAGTGTGGTGGGGAGGGGAAGACTGGCCAGCCCAGCAAGAGGCTGACAGACTGACTGACTGACAGACAGACAGATAGGGCGCAGGTTGCCTCCTTCCAGAGCCACACAGCAGCAGAGCGGCCTGCATCTGATGAAGAGCAGGGAGGGGTGTTGAGAGGGCCCAGGACAGAGCTCCGAGACCCAAGGGCCCTGCTAAATTGAGATGAGAAAACACCCGTCCACGAGGACTTCTCAGCATTTCCCAAACACTGCAAACCAGGTCCACCTCAGCGCTGGACTCGGCCTCAGTCCTAGCAGACCCAGAATTTCATGGCCACAGTTTGAAGCGGCAGACTGTCATCCCTCCTTGGAGACTGCCCGGCGTCCAGAGCGCCAAAGGCTGCCGGCCCCGCTCTGCCGCTCATCCTCACCCGGCTTCTTGCCTCACTGGAGAGGAAAGCCAGCCTTCGAAGACAGTGGAGGATGAACCGGCAGCACGAAGCCTGTGTGTGTGTGTGTGTGTGTGTGTGTTTCCCACAAAGACTTTTTTATAGGACTCCAGTGCCTCTGCCGCCACATTTGTGATTTCTGGACAACACCGGTGCATTCCCATCAAAGTAGAAACTCCAAGCTCAGACCCTGGAAGGAGTGGGCGTGGCCTCCGGCACCAGGCTAGGGCTGGAGTGGGCGTGGCCTCCGGCACCAGGCTCGGGCTGGAGTGGGCGTGGCCGGGGCGGGGCGTGGCCGGGGGCGGGGCTGAGGGGAAGGCTGAGCCTGGCCTGTGGCGCCCAGGGGTCCTGTGTGCCGGCCCCTCACAGTCAGTGACCCTGACCGAGCCGCCTGCCCTTGGGTGAAGCTGTGGGGTCAGTCCCGGCGCAGTACTCACGGATCTCGCAGTTGGCGCCCACCCAGCCGTGTGGGCAGTGGCAGGTGTATCCATTGGGCTGGTCCAGGCAGGTGCCGGCGTGGTGGCAGGGGCCGCTGTCACACTCGTTTATGTCGATGTCGCACTCTTCACCTGAGGAGAGAGGGGAACGTCGGTGAGACGAGGTCGAAACTCCAGTGGCACAGCAGAGGGCCGAGGCAGGCGAAGCGCTCCGGCGGCAGCGAGACCGCTGTTACCGCAAGCACAGAACTCGGGCGCTTTCCAGAAAGGAAAGGAGCTCTGACTTCGGGAAACGAAACCAGAAAACAAGTCAAAGACTAGTTTTGTAAAGCGCTGGTCAAAGACGCTCCCGTCGGCCCAGGGATGGTGAAGCCAACACCCGCCGGAATAAAACGTGCCAGGTTGAGCAGAAAAGCAAGCTCGGGTCCCTGATCTTACTACAGAAATCTAATTTATTTTGGCTTGACAAGTCTGCGAAATCCGATTTGTTGTTCTGAAACTCCTGAAAGCTGAAAACTCAGTTGGACTTTTTCTGTGGCAACTTTGAGCACGTGTCTGCTCCCTGATGACTTTCCTGGTAGAGTCCTGGGTGCGTGCGTGCTCGGCGGTCTCCTGTGTCCATGCTCGCCACCTTCCAAATCCTTTCGGAGAGGGGCTGAGTGCTCGGGAGAAAGGGTTGTGATTTCTGGGCTTGGCCTTGCTCTGACATAAGCTTCCCTGGGGTAGAGTGCTGGGAAGACCATCCCGTTATAAAACACGGCACGGAGAGCTTCTGATGCTCTCTAGACTCAGCATTTCACGGCATCCTTGCCTCCTGCAAAGAGCCTAAGCTTGCAGACCAGACTGTGGGCTTCGGACTGGGGTCCAAGCATTACAGAAACTAGCTATTTATAGAAAGTTCCAGAACAAAGCCATCCTCCTGAGATTCAAAGGTCACATCATGAATCAATACAAATGGAGTTTCTTAAAGCTGTTTCATCAAAGCTGACTAGAGGAGTCTGTTTCAAATAGAGGCTCTCTCTTTTAAAAAGAGCATTTTAAAATGTGCCTCCCCTGGCTTAGATAAATATAAAAAGAGATTTTAAAAAATTCCTACCATTGCTATAGTCAAACACTAAAGCAAACGAGCAAAATCAAATCTTTTTGTCCATTTTCAAACAGCAGTGTTTCAGTACGCACGTGAATAACTACTTCCAGGTTGAGTTAATTAGTAGTAAAGTGCCTTTTTATCTGCTATTGGTTTGCTTCATGTTTATAAAACCACCATATGTCACTCACAGACCATGATGGAGGAGGAATCTCTCACTAAAATAGTTCACATCTGTTTCATTTCACACTTTTTGTACCTGGCATCTATTTTGTTTTAAAAGTGAAATCTGTGGAATGAAACATTTACTACTTCTAGGTCCTCCTAGGTTGATTACTAATTCACTAGTGTCTAAATGAATTTGTTTCCTGCAGTAAATATAGTCATTTATGTCAATAGGAAAGACATGAAATTGATTGCCACTGACTAACCTATTTCAAAGGTTGTCTGTCTATTAATGGGGTAATCACTCTGAGTGGAGAAAGGTCACAGACTAAACTATTACGAATGGCACTACATGGGAGACCAGTTGGAGAGACATAAACAAGAGCGTGCCGAGAAATGCTAAGAGGATGAAAGAAAAGGCCTTGGCAAACACATGCATCCGTGCTACTTTCCACCCATTTCAGAAGACAAACTTAATGGAAGTATTTACAAAGCAATCGCTTTCTTTGGCTGGCAATCTGAACCCTGCAAATCTTGAAATAAGATACTCCTTTGCAGCCACACCTAGGGGAATAGCCTGGCTTCTCCCAACCGGGATGAGGAGAGGCTACCCAAAATCCTAGAGGATCAAGGTCATTACCCAGCCCTCCTCATTACCTGAACTTGGGCAGTCCCCGAGCCCTCTCCAGGCTGTGTAGTCTTGCTCTGGCTCAGAGCTTTCCCAGGGAGGTAAATACCAAAGCCAGGGTCCACAGGTGCCCTGATGTGTACACTGGTTCTGGGGTCTCTACGGAGCTCTAATAGAGTTGGGGGAAGCCCAGGACCCCCAGATGTATCTGATATTGGGTCCACCAACTTGGAAGGGTTTGGTAGGAATAGAAAGCAATAGGAGAACATATGAACTACATCTGTAGACATAGGTTGAATATCAAAGGCCCGGGATCTGAAGGACTAGAGTCCAGATGGCATCCTAACCCAATCTCAAGCTAAATTCCAATACCAGAATACTCCATGCCATTCAGGGACCCAGTTACCTGGCAGTGGCTTCTGCAGTTGGTGTGGCATTAGAGAACCCTTGTGTGACTCCTGGTGCTCGGATTACTCTAGATTTACTCTACTGGCCCATTTTATAAGTTGACCTTCCTGTCCTTCTACTTGAATCAGTTATGGTCCAACTGGCTCTCAGTTTGAGCCTTCACTGGGTCCCATGTTGGTGGTGCGGAGATGGGGTGATTCTAAGGTCAGGGCCCATCAGTCCAAAGAACTCCAAAGATGACGCTTATTCTCTGCTTTACACTGATCAGTCTTTTGTCCATCAATCTTAGGCAAAATGTTTGAAGATTTAAATATGAATTCTGGAATGTAAGTTTGGTTTCCTTTATGTTTTCCCACATTAAGACTACTGATATTGAGCCTCCCTGGTGGCACAAGGGGTGAAGTCTCAGCACTATATGAAGCTATCAGCAGCTACTGTAGCACAAGTTTGATCCCCACCCAGAAAGTGACCCACAGGATGCCCACTGCTCCCCTCAGCAGTGGATTTCAGTCAGTCCGACTGTTCTGCTCCCCACTCTGGTCAATCCTCACACTCCCCGTATCCTCCCCCCCCCACCACACACAACTCTGGCCTATATCCCGTATCCTCCCCCCCACCACACACTACTCTGGCCTATACCCCAGCTTTTGTATGCATAAATAAATAAGTCTTTTTTAAAAAAGAGTATTAAGGTTTTTCATACACATTTCAACACCCCGTTTGCAATCAATATGCATTCTAGCTAATTTCAGTACAGAGGCTCTTAGTATATTATATCGTATTTCCTTATTTGTGGTTGACTTAATAAATCATTATGCTTTTGCTGACTTTTCATTGACTTGCTTACTTTCTTTTATTGGAGTTTGAGAAAAATCAATTACTTTTAAATCACTGTTGTGCTTGAATAACATTTGTGAAGAGAATACAAAATGAAATTTCTACTTGACTGCGGTTGAAAATATGAGTCTGAACTTCATATCTTTTACAATTTCTTTTCAATATCCTACTTTCTTAGAAAAAATGCACTGTATTTGGCAGTACTTATGCAAATATACACATTTACTCTTAAATTCTATATGATTTCCTCCGATAAATTAAAATGAGAAAAGGCAAAAACTAGGGACTCTCCCTGGTGGCACAGCAGGTTAAAGCACAACACTATGAAGCTGACCACAGCCACTGCAGCAGGAGTTCGATCCCCGGCCAGGGGGTGATCCACATGGTGCAGCTGACCTCCCCTGTCTCACCCGCTGCTCCCCTCAGTACTTCATCGATCTGCCTGTTCTGCTCCCTGCTCTGTCTCTGGTGAATCCTTCACCATCCCTGCCTTTCTGGCCTGTACCCCAGCTCTGCATGCATATATAAATAAATATTAAAAAAAAAAAAAAGAGGTAAAAACTCATTGAATTTCAGCGCTATTGGTAAATTCTTGAGTTAATAGAGCTCACACTGACTGAAATCAAGGAAAATCATTATAACCACAATGAAATATACACCACTATGTGCCAGGTTTTTGGGATGGCCTTTTACCTATAACTCCTTCATGCTTCATGAGTATTTGATGCCAAATGAAATAAATCCAAAAAATTACTTGGAATTTCTTCTAAGGGAATAGTAGAAAGACATGAGTAATCTGTCTCACTTCCTCACTGTAAATAATTAGACAACTGGAAAAAACACAGATTTTAAAGAACACCAGTACTGGTTTTCTGCTTCCAGGCGATCTGGGATTCAATGATGTCACTGGATTGAGAGAAGAGAGGTTAGTGGCTATCAAGGTAACTATAACTTACAGGGCTGGCTACCATCAAAGACACAGCTTTGCAGGGAAATCCCACCAGAAATATACCGCATCCCTGGAATTTGATGCTCAACATGTGTTTGCTGAAAACTGTATGTGCCTGGCAAAAAGAGGAAAGAGGCTCAGCTCCCAAAGCTCACAGTCTGGCAAGTATTTAATCTCTCACAAGTCAGGGCTAAACTACTTCACTGCTCACCTTGCTTACTCAGTGAGGCAACAGTCATGTTTTAACAATCGGTCTACATGTCCATGGAAGAAAGGATGGTAGAGCTGATCCAGCCTTTAACACGCAACCCCCTACCCATATAAAAACAAACCAGTTCTTTGAAAAGAAAAACAACAAAGTCCACTCGACAGCATAATTCACAAAGACCAAGATCCCTCCCAGATGACTGTTTGACATGCAAAGAAGCAGGAAATGTGATCCATAACCAGAAGGAAAAACAGTCAAAATACACAGATGCAGAAATAACAAATGATGGCTAGTAGGGAATTTGCTGAAATTGTGGAAGAAAAGATGAAAAAAGAGGCTAGAAATGGAAGTCAGAAAAAAGAACAGAGTACAAAAAACACTTAATTGTTACTTTATCTTTTTGATATTTAATTTCTTGCTGTGTATATATTGACATCAGGTGTGGGCTCCACAGAATTCCCACCACCGAGTCACCCTGCACCATCACCTTGGTCCCTTGAGCTCCTCCTGACCCTCATTTTGTAACCTCTCCTACCCCCCCACCCCGAAGAATGTCTCTGATGTATAGTTGTCTGGTTGTTTTTATTTAGTTTTGTTGTCATTTTTTTTAATTGTTATTATTTTTCCCCTATCCCTTATTGGGTTTCCCTATATTCCTCCTGTAAGTGAAACCATCTGACGTTTTTCTTTTTCTTTCTCACTTACTTCACTGAACATAATCTCTTCTAACTCCATGTATGTTGCCACAAATGGCATTAGATTATTTTTCTTTTGCTAAATAGTATTCATTTGTGTATATGTACCCCATCTTTCTGATCCGCTCATCTATTTTTGGGCATTTGGGCTCTGTCCAAGTCTTACATATCATAAATAGTCCTGCAATAAGCACAGGGGTGCAGGTGTCCTTTTGCATTCGGGTTTTTGTGTCCTTTGGGTAGATCGCTAGGAGTGGAATTGCTGGAAAGCTCCTCAGATTACTAAAAATGTAGCTGCCATTTGAAACACTGAATTTTTAAACAATAGATTAAACTCTGTAGAGCAAAAGACATTTAACAAGTAAAGATCTCAAACTGGGCAGTAACCATGTGAAAGATGCTCAACACCAAAGAAATGCAAATTTAAATCTCAGAGAGTTTAAAATGTTTATGGCATTTGCCTATGAAAATGTGTTGGGACAGCTCAAGAAAAACAAAGTAAACCATCCAGTCAAATAATAGGCACAAGAGCCAAACAGACACTTTCAAAGATGAAATGCTGATGGCCAAGAGGTACATGAAAAAATGTGGAACATAACTTACAGTCAGGGAAACACAAATCAAAACCACAATGCGGTATCACCTCACACCTGTAAGGATGGCCCACATTTAAAAAATTGGCAACAACAAATGCTAGCAAGGATATGGCGAGAAAGGAACTCTTTTACGCTGGTAATGGGAATCAAATTGATCCAACCACTTTGGACAGCTTCATGGAAGGCCCTCAAATTACTACCCTATGACCCAGCAATTACACTCCTAGGAATCTACTAATTTGAAAGGAAAACCTGTATTCCCTTATTCACAATAGCTAAGAGATGGAAACAAACCTAAACTCCCCAAAACAGATGACTGGATCAAGAAGATGTGGGACATACACACAATGGAATATTACTCGGTGAGCAAAAAGATAAACTCATGCCATCTGTAGCAATATGGATGAGTTAGAAGGGATTGTGCTTAATGAAATAAGTCAGAAGGAAAAAGAAAAATATTGGATGGTTTCACTTATAGGAGAAATATACAGGGCAACCAAACTAGGGATCAGAAGAAAAAACAGAAAGACAAAACTAGCAGGCAAATTATAAGTTTGAGATACAGAGCAGGGGAAGGGAAGAGAGAGGGATCGAAACAGGAGGGAAGAGCACAGCAACTATGATGGTGGTTCATGGGTGCTGTGGTGGTGGGAGTTTTATGGGAATTGCACATAAAGGGAGATACCAACTATTGTACAAAAGTGAACACTTATGTAAAAATAAATGAATAAGTTTTGAAAAAAGTAAATGAGTTGGAAATTGAGGAATACTGTCAAATCAAAGACAAATATTGAAAAGTAGCTGAGTCAGAAAATCGAGCATGGCCTCACATTCCTGAGCCTTTGACAATGCATGTTGACTGTGTGCTCCATAGGAGAGGAAAGGTTTACTGGGGTCTATTAAATCGCTATTCACACGCTCCTCAGTGTCAGTAGGCTGCACAGACTCTTTGTCTTCCTTGCTGGAGTACACTAACCTCAAGTGCAGCCTATGGTCTCAGATAGGAAAGAACTCAAGCCACTCCTAGAGAAACAAAGCAAATCCTAAAGTTGCATTAGGGTCTCCTGACTTTCTATGTAGCTGTCCTGAGCCAGATAATTCTAGGGAAGGGAGGGAGGGAAAATGACCAAGGCTCAAAGATAAGAACAGGCCCTGAATGAGCTAAAAGCTGAAAAATGGGTGGGACGTAGGCCAGGTCCTTGAGGAAGGAGCTCAGAGAGGCTCCCAGACACGGAGGGGGAGACTCTGCGGGGCCAGACGGGCAGAGTATTGCAGCCTGAGCTCAGCATGGCAGGAGTGTTCCATTCCCTACATGCCATGTCCCAGAGTCAGCCTCGGGCCTGAGAGAAGTGTCCTGACCCAAAGGAGAGCGCCAGACTCTCAGGTCAATGTGGCGCTGCGATGAACACCACAGGGCACTCATCTCCTCAATTTACTCCACTCGGTCAGTTCTGGAGGAAGGCTCGCTACACCTCAGGCTAGGCGAAGGCGTCCAAGGTGAGAGCTGTTATTCTCACACGTGAGCCATTACTGTCGTCAGCCTCTCCACGGAATACTAGTTCTCGGGAGACAAGCGGGTCCTTTTTATAGGAAACCAAAAAGTCCTGTGATCAAATATATCTGGAAAATGAACCGGTGAGATGGTGTGCTGTGAGGCGTCTCAGCGTGCACGCGACGTCTCATGGACTCCCCACGGTCCACGAAGGAGGAAGGATGCTCCTTCCGCAGCAGCTGAGGGAACAGCGCTCTGTAACGTACCGACTGCACGGCCCTCCGAGGAACCTTGGGCACCAGAGGATGCTGTCTGAGAGACTTCCAGGGCTGAGTGGGAAGAGACAGGTGCTTCCAGAGACCCAGTTAGTGTAAAGCCTGAACTACGTCAGCAGAAATCTACTGTCAATTAGACTGCAGTGGGGACCGTGAGGAAACGCGGGGGCTGGCGAGCAGCCTCCCTGGTGACACAGGGGTTAAAGCCCAGCACTATGGGCTGGCTGCAGCCCCTACAGCACCAAGGAGGGACCCACAGGGTGCAGCAGACCCCTCCTGTCTCCCCGCTGCTCTCCTCAGCAGTGGATCCACCAGTTCTGCCCCCCACTCTGTCTCCGGCGATGCTGCTCACCTCCTTGCACCTCTGGAAACCGGGGGACTTGTCGGCTGGAGGCACAGGCAGGGAGGGACCCGGGGACAGGGAGGCAGGAGACAGAGGGAGGTCTCGACAGAGAAGAGCTTATGTGGAGTGATCAGGAAGAAAGAAGGATCCAGTACAGACTGGAAGGCTGGCTGGGGCTTGACCATGGAGAAAGGAGCTCTCATCTTTTTCTTAGAGGCAGTGGAATGATAACAGGCGATTTTAAATAGAATGTGACATGGTTACCTTTCCCTTTACAAGGTGCCTTCCCCACCCGTCCCCTGAGCCTGGAGTCTGTTCTACCTCACGCAGCCTCCCTCCGCTTTTCAAATTCCAGTCACTTTAAGTCTTCCAGTAAAACTCAGCATACTCGCTGAAAGCAGTTGCTACCATCAAGCACCGTCCTGGTGCTTCCTCCCTTCCAGGCTTCGCAGACAGCTGGCAGGTCCCTGTACCCAATGCCGGTTTCAGAAGGGCCTCGTTTAATGAATCACCAACAACCCATTGTTTTAACAGAAACCTGCGGCCAAGCAAATGGCCGCCTGACCCCTCCCTGCCTGGCATAACGTCAGACACAGAGGGGTTTTGTTTGTTTGTTCACAGCTGCCAGCTCAGTCCCAGGCCACTTGCCTGTGAAGCCCGGGGCGCAGACACACGTGCTGTTGAGGCCTTCGCTGTCGCAGCTGCCTCCGTTCAGACAGCTGACGTTGGCGCAGGGGTCCTTGTAGGATTCACAGTGGATTCCTGCGGAGAAACAGACGCAGAGGAGGTGAGGATGGGGGGCTCCCCAGGGGAGGCCCCCGTGGGCTGTGTGGACGATGGGGACTCCGGGGTGGGGGTGGTGAGGTCACATGCATCTGATGGAAGCCTGCGCCTCGGAAACACGCGCAGTGTTGCAAGCCAATGTTTCCTCAAGAACAAATAATACGACTTTGAAAAAATAAGTAAAATTGAAAGTTTTCATATATATCAGTCAGTCTTTTGACAGAAATAGGACCTCGAGGAGTTTCTGCTGTCACTAAATTCGCCTGTTTCTAATGGGTGCTGTGAAAGGAGACAGTGTTATGTCTATTAAGTTTCTACCACTGGAGGGAAGGAAGGGAGGAGGGAAGGAGGGAGAAAGGGAGGGAGGAGGGAGAGAAAGGGGGAAATGCCAGTTCCAAGGCCTCTGAAAGCGAAGGGTTGGCCGGCCGGGGCCGAGGAAGGCAGGTCCCGAGGACTGTGGTGTGTGTGTGTGTGTGTGTGTGTGTGTGCAGTGTGTACACAAGTGTGTCTGCTCTGGACTCCAGTTGTTGAGGACACACCTGAGGTGAAGCAGCACACTCAGTCCCCTCGTGGGTCCCACCACAAGGTGGCTAATCCAGTGCTCTCTGACCTCAGACCCCCAAGCTGGGGCTGAGACCTTAAATCTCCGAAAGAAAATGTATCAGTGACAAGTGTTTTCTATATCGTCTCCGTGAGAAGCAGAAAACAACCCGGCTACGTAAAACACCGAATAACTGATGACAGAGCCCTGAGTCTGCAGAGCCCCGACTTCCTGGGAGCCTGCCTGAGAGGGGCTGGGGCCTCGGTCTCAAGCCCAGGACTCGCCCACCCCGACTCTCTTGTGTGCTCAGCTCCACGCCCTCGTCCATGCTGAGGGCCTCACTGGTCCTCACAGACACGCCACGAGACGCACACCCCATTCCACAGACAAGACACCGAGGACAGAATCCAGTCATGGACGGCTGGAGTTGGAAAGCACCAAAATCCGAACGAGTCTTTTGCTGGAGCCAGACTCGCCATGGAAATTTATAGACTGTCGAGCAGCTTAGCTCTTGTTTGACAAAACGAGGCACTTAAAAAATCTTTATAGCAATATAGCTTCCCAGTGGTGTAGAAGTAAAAAGCCTGTGTGTGCAAATGCTTGTGAAATGGGCCTGAGAGGGGCATGGATGACTGGGGTGTTTTACAAGGATTGTGTATTATTTTACACTTCCAAAAAACAATTAAAAATCCACTGCAATTTCCAAAGTGAGATTTCTGCTGTTGTTCCCCTGGGGAGTCAAGATGGATGAAGGGATTCACCTCTCCAGCACTGGCCCTGCCCTTTGGAGAGGGAGATAAATCACACTGGAGTCTGCACAAGAATGTATAGGGTGGCATGCTCGTCCCCTCCCGGCAGCCTCCAGAAAAGTCAGCATCCAGCCAACACTGAGCGACTGGCTGTGCGGATCTGCTCTCACTGTGAGGCTTAGTTCTATAGGGAGCAAAGGGCCGTCACACCCAGTGACTCATCATTTATTCACTGGAATTAGTCTTGCTGGGATTCTCCTCTTGTTTCTTTCCGATGCCTTGAGATGTGGGCTCAAGATGGAGGGGAAAAGTGTGAGAGAAAACAGAAACAACACTGCCTATCTGTGTCCCATAATGACTCCCCCGAGCCTGGTGAGGCGTGTCAGAGGGATGGTTTAATCCTGTTCATGCTCTGTTCCTCATACCCAACCCGGGCGTGTTTCTGAAGCGCCCTTCAGACACGTCCCTTCTTCCTGGAGCTTCCACCCCGGCGCCACGCCCTCCTGCCTGGTAGGGTGCAGCCAGGGACAGTGCCAGGTGCCAGGGGCAGTGAACGAGTCTCCCCGATGTGCAACATCCTTCGCAACCCAGGGTACGAAGCTCAAACTAATTTAAAGATTGGCACAAACCTGGTAATTCTTCGCATGGGTGTGTTTGCCTTCCAAATTAAAATAAAGAAATAAATAAAAAGTAGTCACGTATTTCCAAGTCCCCAAGGCATTAATCAATGGGAACCAGGTGACAAAAAAAAAGATTTTCCACTGTTATGGAAGATAAAAGCACAACCAAAGATCAAACATGTCTGGACTCTCTCTAGATTTCTGTTAGAGCAAAGGGAAGAGCTGGATGATCCTTGCTGGGTTCTTGGGGACACATCAGCTAGCCCGGCCTGCGGAATGGTGACAGATGACCACATTAACACTGATTACCACATTCCCCAAGTCTGGCTGTGAAGCAAGTTCTAGGCTAAATATTTAAACATCTTAACCTTAAAAGTCTTCCATGAGAGTTGATGAAAACACCCAAGATAACAAGCCATTTCTAACTTGGGGCTGATTTCCTTTCTTGGCAATCATCTTATCCCTGGTTATTTTTCTCTTTTCCAAAGATAAGACTGTCGGCTTCACGCGACTGTTGAGAGTGTTCTGGCAGCCAGACTGGACCCAAGTTGAGCTCCGCGTACGCGTGACGTGACATGTGATGTCCCTGGAGCCGTCTCGGGTCCCCAGAGAACGCGGCGAGCACATTCCCACACGCTGAGCCTTGCAAGTCCCACTTACAAGTATTTCTGATGTTGCTCCACTTGTCGGTGTGAGCTGAACAGGACGCACGCAGCTCCTCAACTACAGACTGTAACAGGCCACAGGGGCCGGGCTGACGTGCCCAGGAAAACACCACTAGACCTGCCCCTCAAGAGAAGGGCTGTGGTGACAGTCACGGAGCTACCGTGGTCGAAGAACTACAAGCTCACACCTGGGGTGGGGGGCTCAAACAGTGTCCAAAAATGAAGAGCGACGTAACAAAATAAATCGCTAAAAAAAAAAAAAACACCACCATGCTCCCTGCCCCCAGGCCCTGGGCCCTGCCTTCCTGCCTTGGCCCCTGCCAGGACCCGGCCTTAACACAACACGAGGAGGGCATCCCTTGCCCCCCACACGACCACCTGCCTTCACGCTCTGCCCCAAGCCGTCTCCACCAGGCACTCCGACGTCCATGCCCAGCTCCGACGTCCTCTCTCCTGAATGAAGACTCTCCCCATGGGGCAAGTTCTTCCCCACGGTGGGCTGAGAGCTCTCTGAGACGCCTGCCAACATCACGGAGGTCACTGTGGGAGGCCGCCACTCGCGGGCTCCTGTCTGACGCCCCCAGCCTGGGAGACGTGTTGCGAGTGGAATGCCCCAGCGCCCCTTCTTCTTCGGGAGGTGATGCCATGCGCGTTGGCTGGCACACAGGTGGCTGCCAGAGGACGAGCAGCCGGCCAAGTTCACTCCACAAACACCCTGTTTTGTCGGGAAAACCAGGTCCGTGTTCAAACCAAGTCTGGAACGACGCAAGCATCACCCACTAGCGGGGGACCTGGCGTGCACTGTTACGAAACCGATGTTTAGTCTCAGGCAAAAATAAACTGTAATTCAGTCAAAACTCATAAAAATTCATACTTTTCATATTAAGGGATAGAGAGGAAATGTTTCTGAAAGGCTGTCCATTCCAGCAGGGCTCTTTATAGAAGCTACTTTTAGCATTAAAAATGAGCAAAATTCACCATAAACCAGAGACATTTTGCGGGGG